CCCCAAAACCCCAAAACCCCAAAACCCCCAATGCTTACTGATTATGTATAAAGTGAGCTTGAGCAAACAAATTATAAAATAGTTAATTAATATACTTATTCCTTTCTAATATGTAAAATAGTGACCCCACTATCCTCATAGACTTCAATACTCCCTTTGACGAGAGCAAACTCAGAATGCTCGACCAAGTTGTCGACGTCATGTATAACGGCAAACCAAATGATGTAAGTTACTTTTCCGTGTCATATTCGTTTAAACTCAATTGAGTTCTATGTATTCTTAACCCATTGTGCTCCTGAGTTAGCCTTCATCCCAATTCTGTCAATTATTTAGCATATACTTAGTAATATTCTTTTAGAGAGTTGTAGCCAACAATATTCTAAACCAGTTCAAAGAGCACCCAGATGCTTGGATCAATGTAGACAAGATTCTAGATAACACCAAGAATCCCAACACCAAGTTCTATGCTTTGCAAATTCTCGATGATGCTGTTAATGTAAGCAATCAACATTTCAACTTAATCATCATTGAACCAATTTCTATAGACTCGCTGGAAAATTCTTCCAGAAGATTAGAAACAGGGAATTAGAGGTTTCATCATACAGCTTGTGCTCAACCTATCTCAGGACGAACAAATTGCTCAGTAAAATTAGCACTTATTAACCAAACTCAACGCTACACTTATCTCAATAGTGAAGCATGAATGGACAACTTCATGGCAGAACTTTATTCCCGATATTTGCTCAAATGCGAAGGAAAATCAATCAAGATGTGAAAATGCTTTAAGCATCTTGAAATTACTCTCTGAGGAGGTCTTTGATTTCAGTAAAAATGCTTTACTTAAATCTCAAGCCAAACAGCTCAAAGACTCAATGACCAACGACTTTGCCACTATTTTTGAGTTGTGTATGTGGGTACTCTAATTAGCAATCACAGACCCTCAAAACATCAAACCATCTCTAGTTAGATCTTGCCTTAAAACTTTCCAAGCATTTTTATCCTGGATTCCTCTTGCTTATATCTTTGATACAGATTTGATCCCGCTTATTATAAACAACTTCTTAGGACCTGCCTCTTCAAGAATTGAAGCAATCAGATGTTTTACAGAAATCGCTAGTTTACAATTAGATGACTCTGATGAGGCTGAAAAGAGAAGTTGCAAAGAAAAAATTTGCATGTATTTCTGCTTGTTCATTCAAAAAATTACTGAAATCACAAAAAACAGATCGCTAGTAGATGAGTTTAAGACTCTTCAAGGATCTAAAAATCAAACTGGTTTTGAGAACTTTGTGAAACAACTTGCCTTGTCAATTTCAGCTGTGCTTAAAAATAATATCGATTTAATCGAGGAGACCACAAATGTATCAAGCCCTAATCCAAACATTCAATTCCTCCAATAATGCATTTAAAAGTCATTAGAATTCTTAGTTTAACTTTCCAACATTCCTGAAGATGAGTTGTTCAAGATATGCCTCGACTTTTGGCATTTCTTCTGCTATAATATCATGATCAAAATCAATGGAGATCAGTACTTCAACCAAGGGAACAATTTCAATCCATAAGGATTTGGAAATGGATTGAATTTGAACTCCCTATTAAAAAATTCATTCATGCACTATCAAGTATATCCAGCAATCCTCGAGGATGTTAGAATGATAGCTATTGATTCAATGGCAAAGCCAAAAGAAGTCCTGGTTGTTGTAGATGAGAATGGAGAAGCTGTAGAAGAAGTATTTGATGATACTGAAACTATCAGTATCTATGAGACAATGAGAGAAATGCTTATTTATTTAACCAATATTGACACTCCAGCTATGGACAGAGTAATCTAAAGAAGATTAGATATGCTGACTGCAACCACCGATAGGACATTCTTCACCTTCGATAGACTAAATAAACTCTGTTGGGCTCTTGGCTCTATCTCCGGATGCATGTCTCAAGAAGACGAAAATAAATTTGTAGTTTCAGTCATCAAAGAGTTACTAAACCTGTGTGAGAAAACTCATGGAAAATCTAATAAAGCCTTAGTTGCTGCTGACATCATGTATGTCGTCGGATAATTCCCTAGATTCCTTTGCTCTCATTGGGCATTTTTAAAGACTGTCATCAGAAAACTCAATGAATTTATGCATGAGAAACATCCAGGAGTCTAAGATATGGCATCTGAAACATTCCTCAAAATTTCTAAGTAAACCAAGCATATGTTTGTTCAACGCCACGATGCAGATAAAGATCCATATGTCAATGAACTGATCAGATAAATCCCAGAAAATCTTAAGGACCTTGAGCAACATCAAAAGCTTATGGTATACGAGGGTATTGGCTATATGATCTCATAGGAATAGATGCCAATTATTTAAGAGAAAATATTGAACAATTGTCTTTAGTTCGTTCACTTTGACTGGGAAAAGATTCTCTAACTTGCAAATCAATCTTCTGATCAGCTTCTGATACCAGAAGTATTGAAATCTATTGATTTCATTATTAAGGTAAATACCAAAGTTGCTGAAGCTGTTGGATTTATTTATCTTAGCTACCTAAGGAGAATATTCAACGATCTTCTCAAAATGTATGGACTTTATTCACATTGCATCAGCAATTCAGTTAAATTCAGATAAAATGAACATATGATCAAGCCTATGAAAACAGTCAGAAGAGATATTTTAAAACTCATACAAACTTACATTAAAAGTTCTAATGACTTAAGCACCTTCAATCAAGAGTTTCTCCCAACTCTTCAGGGACTTGTTGAGGACTACTAGTAAAATGATCCAAACGCTAGAGATCCTGAGGTTCTGCTTCTCTTTGCAACAATGATTCAGAAACTTGGAGAATATATCAGTGGGTTCTTGCAACAAATTCTTTTCAATCTTTGTGAGACTACTCTAGCTATGATTAAGGATGATTACATTTCATATCCAGAGTTCAGAGAAGGGTTATTCAAGCTAGTTGAGAATATTGTGAAGTATTGCACAGGGGGATTATTCCAGCTCTAGGCTGATAAGTTCCACACTATCATTCTGACAATAATGTTCGCAATGAAACATGAAAAACCTGAACTTATGGAAATTGGTCTTGAAGCAATGTATGCTTTGAATGGCTTAGTCGTGCAAGAACCATAGATTGCCTCAATCTTTTACTAAAACTTCTATGTCCTCATAATTCGCGACACAATGACAGTTATGACAGACTACAGACATATGAGTGGCTTCAAGATTCAAGGCTAAATTATTCAATAGCTAATTTAGGTAGCTGAGAACCCCTCAGGAATGTTTGCACCTATCAACTCAGATAATGGGCAGCAACATCAGTATGGATCAAACAAAGAATTTGTCGTGAACCTATTAATTGATTGCATCAGATCCCTTTTCCCTAACTTAAACAAAATTCAAATTGAGGCCTTCGTTTTGAATTTGTTTAATAACTCGACTGACTGGCACATGTTCAAGAGCACTCTAAGAGATTTATTAATCTCGATGAAGAGTTTTGCAAGCAATGACGATGATTTCTATGTTGAAGAGAAAAAAGTAAGTTAAACTTTGTAATAATTTAATAGGCTGCTTTAGAAGAAGCTCAACAAAAAGAATTGGAAAGGAGAAGAGCTATCCCTGGACTTATTACCCCAAGTGAATAGTTACAATAGTGAGATATAAGTGTCTTTTTCTATGATGGAGATCTAAATAAACATACATATTTTAATTCAGTTCTGTCTTTAGATATCATAAGTAAATTGTCTAATAAACACTAACATTATTAAATGTACCATACAAACACCCTATAATTAAATATAAATACCTTTGTGTATACTATAAAATGTACAATACTATATTACTGTAATTTGCTAAAGAGTATATTTTAGATACCAGGGGTTTTGGGGTTTTGGGGTTTTGGGGTTTTGGGG